TGGAATATTACTCAGCAATAAAAGAGAATAAAATCATAGCATTTGCAGGTAAATGGATGGAGTTAGAGAAGATAATGCTAAGTGAAGTTAGCCAATCCCCCAAAAAATCAAATGCCAAATGTTTTCTTTGATATAAGGAGACTGATTCATAGTGGGACAGGGAGTGGGAGCATGGGAGGAATAGACAAACTCTAGATAGGGCAGAGGGGATGGAGGGGAAGGGAGGGGGCATGGGGTTATAAATGATGGTGGAATATGATGATGATTATTATCCAAAGTACAGGTATGAAGATAGGAATTGGTCTGAGTACACTATGTATTCAACCAGAGATATGAAAAATTGCACTCTCTCTATATAATAAGAATTGTAATGCATTCCGATGCCTTGTATGCATAAAAATAAATTTAAAAAAGAAAAAAATAGGTTAGTTAGTAGAGAAATAAAAGAATATTAGATTTTTTTAAAAAAGCAAAAGACAAATGCAGGAATTGTCTCGCAGCTTAAGAAATAGAAAGGGAGCCATGTTGCTTTCAAGGGTATGTATTTCAGATCTCTTTCCCTCAAAAAGAGAAAATTCATCACAGAGGGTCTGACGTTCTTCCTGGGTCCCACAGTGAATTTGCAGCAGAGGTTGATATAGAACTTCAGTTTCTTGACCCCCAAGTACAATACTTTCTCTGCTTCTTCATGATCCTTTAGACTCCTCTACTTTTTCATACATAAAATGAGGAGAAAAATGCTTTTCCCAAAGCCTCCCTTTAAATGAGGCGGAAAAAAAAAAAACAGTACAGTGGCTGGAACAATATTAGAGCATACTACATATCTGTTGAATGATTAAGTGAGTAAGCAAGTAAGTAAACCAGCAGATGCTTTTTCTTTCCTTCCCTTTAGGTATCAACTCAAACTTCCCCCTCTCCAATTCCAAATAACGAAGATACAGGTAAACCTCTTCATAAGAGGGAAGAAAATCAGGCTTGATTTATATATTTTTTTTTCCAAACACATTAATGATGTGTTTGAGATTTCTTGGTTATCAAGGGATTAACTGATTTCAATACTGTTAGGTTTTTTCCCCCATTCAACCACCCTGCCTCTCTTAAGCATATTGGGAAGTTTCAATGATTCCTCTTTTTAGTCAAGGACTAGTCATAGAAATGTTAGAAATGGAAGAATTTGTATTCTAACATTCAGCTGGCAAGAAACGAGTGAATCCAGCATGTCTATGACGCCAACTTCTTGGTGAGGTATGTAGCTGAAAAAAAGCACTGATATTGAACTGCTCTCTGCAGCACCTGAGCAAATGTACTAGTGTATGTGTGCATTGTGTTTCCTTCAGCCCGATTTGGGTTTCTCTTTAACTGGAAAGTTTACCTGCCTAACGTGATCACTTAGTAGTTAAAAGAGGTGAGCTTTGAGAATAACAGACTGGGTCTGAAATCCAGCTACCATCACTTGCCAAATGTGTGGTAGGAGCAAACTTCCTAACCTCACTCACACAGACATGTGCTTATAACATTATCGACATAATAAAGTAAGAAATCTAGCATAGTCCTGGCACACTGTAGGCACGCATCAGCAATCACCCCCTTTCTTATCTCTTCTATTAAATGTGATACTACTATAGCATTTACATTTGTTTGCCTCTATCACAGTGTTTTTTTTTTTTAATTTCATTCTTCCTGGCTATGGAGTGGGGTGTGTTTTGACATATTAAACATAAGTAGAATAAGTATAACTTATTCCAGTTAGAATCCCATTGTTTTGGTTGTATATGCAGTTATATTGGTAGTATATTCATATATAAGGATAAAAAAGATATGTCCAATTCATTCTACTGTCTTTTCTATTCCTAACATTCATTCTCTTTCCTTCATTCCTCTTGGTCTAATCCGTGAACTTTTAATCTTCCACTTCTTTGTTGTGGGTTAGCAACCACATATCAGAGAGAACATTCTGCCTTTGGTTTTAAGGGACTGGCTTATTTCACTTAGAATGGATATTCTCAGGTTCTATTCATTTATCGGCAAATACCATAATTTCATTCTTCTTTATGGCTGAGTAATATTCCATTGTGAATATGTACCACATGCTTTCTCGTCTTTACAAGCATTTTGTAGCTCCTTTTACTGAAAATTCTAGTCAGCTTGCTCTTTAAGGGCAGGAATCCATGATTCTCTTTGAGCTAGGAGGCTTTGTTTGTTCGCTTGTTTGTTTGTTTTTTTAACTCAAAGATAAAGTCGTGCTCATAACATTATCAAATGGGTGATGATCTGAATGTTTCTATTTTTCCTCTGCAAACTTCTTTTTGATAGTAGCTGCTGCAAGTGCCATGGTCAGAATTCTGAAGTTCATTTGAAAAGGGTCCTGTGGTCCAGTGTCTCCATGGACACACAGATGAAAGTAGTGATGGCACTTGTGCCACAAATTAACCGTAACTATAAAGGACCTCTGGGGAAGGGAGTCATGTTAAGTCAGTCTTTGGAGCCCTGGCCTTGCACCAGGTCCTAACGTAGTTCTTCATATGTGCAAGGTCTTCACTCTGATTTCTTGAGCGAATGAATAAATAAATGCAAAAATGTAAGAATCCTTGTCTGAAAGTGATGAGCCAATGGAAAAAAAAACTGGACAAAATTGAAATATAGATCCCTTAGAGCCATTATCTATTAAGGAAAACAGCAAAACTCAAGGAAGTAAAGAGGAGGGTCTGCCCTCTTCTCCTGCAATCTCCTAGTAACTCAGGGATAACTAAATGTGCTGCTTCATGATGCTCTTCATATGGAACATTAATTCCTGCCACAATGATGTACATCAATTTAAATGGAAATAGTGAACTCTAAGTACTCTTCTCTCTAACAGCATTTCTAGCATTCTCCCAGCCACATCTCCCAGAACTATACTGTGCTTTAATGATGGGATTGTGAGCAAGGATGTAGAAAGGCCATTAAAATTAAAATAACTTTCCTGGAATATTCTCCCAATGAGCTAGTCAACACAGTCAATTAAGGAGAATAGGGTGAACATTTTTTTTTTCCGGAAAAGACTCCACATACAAATAGGAAGAAAGAAGATGGGCAGGGGGAGTGGCAAAAGGATCCTGTCGTTTGTCCTTGTATAAAAACTGGTGTTTCACAAAATTGGTTTTTCTAGGTGTTTGGTGAATTGAGGATAGGTCTAAGTACAAAGGAGCCTTTTTATGTTGTCTCAGTGGGTGACTTATATGACTAGATTAGAATTTATTTGGAAAATTTTTACATGAAAGCTTCTCTCCTTTTTCTTTGATCTACCAGGAACAATGGTGTACTCTTTAAATGTATGAAGACCTAATTTTATGATATAATTGTCTCTAGCATAAGTTTAGAAATTGAGCTATTGTTCCCATGTCAAGCCCCTATCTGCACAAAAGTGCCATCTATAGGTTGACAATAAATCACATGAATAGTTGTGATTTTTTTACTCTTCTAGGATCATACAGTTTAAGGAATCTCTATAGTCCACATAATGATCGTGAGTTAAACTTCTGCATCGTAAGAGGGCTGGTCTCGATGACCCACAGACTATAGCAAAATTGACAGTATGTGAGGTGGGTAGGATAATGGTTCCCCAAACACGTCCACATCCCAGTCCCCACATCCTGAACTTGTGAATAAAGTGAATAAGTTGCCTCACATAGCAAATGGGATTTTTTCAATATGATTTAAAAACTTTCAACTACAGAAATTACCCTGGGTTATCTGAGTGGGCCCAATGTCATCAAAAGGGCCATCAAAAGATGGAAGAGAGTTGGAGGGATTGGAAGATGCTATGCTGATGGCTTTGAAGGTGGAGAAAGGGCAGCTACAAGTCCACTAGAACCTAAAAAAATACAGAAATAGATTTTTTTCCCTAAATACTGAAAGGAACACAGTCCTGTTCCTATCTTGATGTAAACACAAAAAAAATCCATTTTGAACTTGAGCTTTCCAGAGCTGGAAGATGTTGAATTTGTGTTGTTTAAAACACTAAGTGGGTGGTTCTTTGTCATACCATGGATGGGAAACTGATATAGTATGTCATTTCCAAGATTGGGTATAAAAAAAATTTTACTTCTATCTTGGACTCTCTCATTCCATCTCTTGCATGGCTCTCCCTGGGGGAGATCAGCTACAATGTCAGAAGGACCTGTTGACAACCTGAAGAGAGGCCCATGGCAAGATACCGAAGGAAGCCTGCTGACAAATGAGGGAGTTGGGAAGAAGTTCAGCAGCCCCAGTTGAACACCAGATGACAGCATCCCCCCTGACAGTTGACCTGCAGCCTCATAAGAGACCCTAAGCCAGCACTGCTCACCGAAGCTGGGCTTGGATTCCTGAACCACAGGCACTGTGGACTTATAAGTGTTTGCTGCTTTAAGATGCTCAATTTCCAGGAAATCTGTAACAGCAATAGATGACTAATACAATATCCTTGTGTAGTCCCTTCCATGCTGAATCAGGCCGGCCTGTGCGACACAAAGTAGAATACTGTAGAAATGGTGCTACAAGACTTCTGGAGATAGGTCCTAAAAATTATTGTTGTTTCTGCTTTAAATTCTTGGATTGGTCGCTCTTGGGAGAGCCAGCTGACATGTCATGAGGACACTCAAGCAGCCCTGTGGAGTAGCCAACTTGCCACCCATGTGAGAGTCAACTTGTCACTCATATGAGAGATACAATCTGCTAGAAGTGTACCCTCCAGCTCAAGTGAAGCTATGGACTATTCCTGCCCTTCAAGTCTTCTAGATGAGACCCAGACCCTGTAGATCAGCGAAGAGCCCTGACACTTGTACCCTCTCTGAATTCCTGACCCTAAGATAATAAAGAAGTACTATTGTTTTGACCTACTTAGTTTTAAGTGATTTGTTTTGTAGCAATCAATAATTAATACAAATGTGGTACATACGTAGTACCTTCCAATTGCATTTTAGAAAGATAATTTTTCATGTTCTTCATGCAAATATATTAATACACTTTCAAAATGATAATTTAGATGTGGATACAATGATTTTTATATTGTTTTTCTTCTTACCAGAATCTCTGTCAACATTATACAAAGTAGATATCAGAGAGAATGAGTTAATGGTTCAGGGTATACAGCAAACTAAACAGTTGGTAGGAAATGGCTTATATTTTGAACACAGAGCAACTTTATTTCTTTTCATCACAACTCATAAGGAAATAAATTTCTCTTGTCTATTACTAAGCTCAGTTTGCATTGCACATGCTTGGACATTGGGAGAGGATGCAGAAAATGCGACTCATTAACATTTGCCAATTAAAGGCAATGTTGGTCACTTCCTGTTTTAACTCCTCGTAGCCTCCAGAGAATTCAATTAGTCCATTCAAATTTCATATCAGGACAGCATTCCTGTGAGTCTCCCTTTCCCTCATTCTCCTCAGGAAGGAGTCTGGATCTAGATGGATGCTTGCCTACTGTCTTGAAACGGGACTGGAGGTGTCTGATCTCTGTGTGGTCCGCTTCTCTTCACTTGCCCTCTCTAAGATGCAGCTTGCTCCACCTCATCTCGGAATGTCCTGTCTTTACTGCATTGGCTGCTAAAGCATCTGAGACTAATATAACTAGAAGATTATTTTCTAGCACACCCAAGTAAGTGGTCTCCCCACTTTCCACATTGCCCCTGGGTTCGTGCCAGGACTACAGACCCACAGAAACAATGCCTCGTTATCAAGTCACCCTGGTATCATGACAATAGCATTCACTCTCTCCTTGAAAACAGGGACCTTCTGGCAGGAACAGTCACTCTCTATTCTCAGACTTCCCTGTGTTTCCCAATAAGCTGTGGAAATTTTCTTTCTTCTTTTATTCATACCCTGGAGCTGAAGGCCCTGAGGTAGTGGAGAGGAATTTGCTCAATGAGGCCTCTCTAGCTGACTAAAATGCTACAGAATTTCATAATACTTCTTACTTACATGGAGAGAGCAGAAACTTCTTATCTTCCATACTTCTGATGTTCTACTTGGCCAATTATTTAGGAGAGGCCTAATTATCATCCAGTCATCCTGCCAACTTGTGGGGAGAATTAATAACACAGGCAATTTGCAAATCTCTCCTGTAGGTATTCACTATGGGAACAATGCTGGATAACTGTTTTTAAAGACAGTCATATTCGTGTGTACAAGTACAGGTAGAATTTTGCTCTACTATATACAATGAACTTGACCATTCGTATTTGTCACAAAACAGCCTGCGTACATGGCAGTGTACCAGACACAGCATTCATCAAGTCTTCATCACATGTTTCTGCAGGGAGCCGGCTTTAGGGCTCCAAGGGATCCTGAAAAGATTTAACAATCCAGGCTATGGAAACACGCAGAACATCCTGAGCAGATCTGCAGGCCAGAGATTTCGCACTGAGTGCGGCCTCTGAGGCCACCAGCTTTGAGAAGCACTTCTCAGAAGCAAACTTTCTGAGTCCAGGGAAAGTGGCCCTGAAAGAAAACAACAGATTCTTATCATCATCTCAGAGCTCACCCTTTAAATCATTCTCTGCTGTCTCTTTCTCTCCCTGCTCTGTTGGCCATTTCTCAGCAGTACGCCATAGTAATTAAAGAACACAGCTTCTAGAAAGAGATACCTTTGATTCAAATTCTGACTCTGCCACTTTTAGCTGAAAGAACATAAACAAGTTCATTAGCCTTTCTCCGTCTTAATTTTTCTCACCAGCCAATAAAATGAAGATGCTTATAAATCATATCCACCTCACTGGGTTGTTGTAAGGGACTACGTAAAACTAGCTTGTCTTTAGAATGCTGGAAAACACTCTCAACAATTGCTAGTTACCAATTTTCCTCTGTTTGTCCAGTCCTTTCTGGATTAGCCAGCTGAGGCTGCCATAGAAAAATACCAAAGACTTGGACTTAAAACCAAAGACATTTATTGCTTACAGTTCAGGAAGCCAAAAAGTCCAAGATGAAGGTGCCAGCAAGATGGGTTTCATCCTGAGGACTCTTCTCTTGGCTTCTTGTAGGGAAGCTGCATGTTTCTGAGTGCTCAAAGGACCTCTTGTCATGCACACTCAAGGAGAGAGCGATTTTTGGTGTCTGTTCTCATAAGCACACTAATCCTATCATGGGGGCACTATCCTCATAACCTTCTCAAAAACTACCTTCCAAGAACCTCATCTCCAAATACCATCACATTGGGAGTTGGGGCTTTAATGTATGAGTTTGGGAGGATTTCAGACATGAACTCTTTGACCTATGCCTTGCCCCTCCAAACCTAATGTATTTTTCCACCCTGACTTCCTCCCTAAAGTCAAAACTAGATTCATTAAGTGACAAGAAACACTTGAGTAAATGTCATGTGTGCCAAGATATTAGATACAATGGAGTGCTAGTTCACAGGAACATTTCATTAAAACACATTTGGACCAGTCATGATTTTATATATAGTTAGGGGAAAAAAAAAAAAAGACAGTTTGCAACGATTACCTTTCTTACAAATAATGTTGCATAACATACCACCAGAGAACTCAGTGGCTAAAATGGGCTAAATGCTCGTTGCTCATCCATCCGGAATGAATGCTAGTCAGGGATGTAAGACTGTGGAGTCTCCTGTCCTCAGCTGGCCTCTCTCAAGTGTCTGAAAACAGACTGGCTCTTGGCAGAGGTCTCACTTTTCTAGGATTTGTATGGCTAGGAAAATCCAGGTCTGCTCACACCGGTTTCACTTCCTTCCAAAAGAGTAACAGGCATGCTTTCTCAGGAGGTAAAAATGCAAACAAGCCAGTACTCAGCCTTAAACCCAACAGCAAAAGGAAACACCCAAGGCATCTTGAATCCTAGGCTCAGACGTGGCACACTGTCACTTCCAACACATTATACTGGTCAAAGCAAGTTCCAGGAACAGTTCAGACTCAGGAGATAGAGAAAGAAACTATGCCTTTTCATGGGAGGAATGAGAAATCACAGCCATTTTGCAATCTACTACACCCAGGATCATCTTGCTGACTCTCCCTTTCTTCTTTCTGTTTATGAGTAAAAACTTAAAAATTTTAATTGAAGACTATGTGATTATAAAGATATATGTTTGCAAAAAAGGTATTATGTAATTCATAATTACCCTCTGAAGATATAGGTCAAATTTGTGTAAATGAGATCGTGTTGTTTATAGTATGAAAAAGTTTTTCTTAATAAGCATTTTGGTTTTCTTTGGGGTTTTCTTTTTTGGGGAGAATAGGGTAGAAAGCTTAGAAAACCTGTTTATAGAAAGCTCAGACAATAATTAATTTCCTTTTGACTCTTGAGCTACGAAACACTTATCAAGCTGAGAAATTTCATGTGTATTATCACATATATTATGTGGAAAAAAGCATGTTAGTATCAATTAGAAAGCTTAAAAGCATCAAAATTTATTTTCTGAAAAATGTGTTTTGTTCTAATTATCTTACTATTTACATTCCCATCCAAGATACTGCCAGGAATGGGGAAACCAGGCTTGCAGAAATTAAGCAATGATGTGCTGCCACCTTGTGTTCTATTCCTGTAAGCACCATTTTCCCACTAGTATCTCTACAATACTAATCAGAAAAAGATAGGGAGCAATGAAGGCAGACATTTTGTCCTTGTAAAAGGCAAGGTTTCTTGATTCATTTTATGCCCAAAAGATTCTTTGACAACCTTTTTTTTCATAATGATGATTTGAAATGCATAAAATGAAATAATAGAATTAGAAAGGAAGCTATATTTTAAGAGTTATCAAAAAATTCAAAGTAAAACAATTTTCTGTGTACTTATATTCACATCATAGTGAATCCCACCATCACATATAACCATAAGAATGGGGTCCTAACTAGAATAAGATATATTCCATGCATGTATAATTTATCAAAATGAATTCTACTGTCATGTATAACTGAAAAGAACCAATAAAAAAATTGTAAGGAATAATACGTTAAGCACTCAAGTAACAAAATCTAGTATTTAGTTTAATAACTACTATAATTTAAGTGGTAAATAGTGTAAACATATTTTGAGATATCAGCGGCAACAGTACCATGATGTGAAAATGTATATCATGAATGATGTTATTGTGGTTTGTTGCCTATATTCATATTGAAGGAATTAATAAATCATGTTAGAAATTGGTGGAAAATTGTTTACTTTTTTCTTATCTATGTTTATGTACCACCTGAGTTCTATCCATGGAAACTTTGGAATCCAGAGACTCCAAATTAACTATTCCTAACCCCTAAAACAGGTTACATTTGATCATTTAACAAGGAAAGATTATATATCAAAACTTCCAAAAATAGATCTTCATGAAGACTCTAGGAATCTATGGAAATATTTTTGAACAACAAATCACTAACTTTTCTTTCATAAATATTACTTTTATTTACCATGTGATGAGCATGGTATGGATATGTCTAATATTTTTAATTATGGATTACCAAGTATAGATATGCAAAGTACAAGTGTACTTTTATTTTATTTCCTAAGGAACTAAGTTCTCTAGATTTAAGTCCAAGATCTGTCTGAATGACTGACTATGTATATTTCTCCTTTCCTTCCCTCTTTCTCTTTCTTTCCAATCATTTCCCTTTTTCTCTTGCTTTTTTCTTCTCTTTTCCTTTGTCCTTCTTTCTATTTTTTCTCTCTCTCTACCTCTCTTCCCACTTTATTTCATACTTCCTTCAACAACTATTTTAATGAGATGATTAAATACTAATAACTGTGTTAAGTATTATGAGTAGTAATCTCAGAGTCTTCTCAGCCAGTCATGATATGTCATGACCCAGAATCACATTAGTCATACAGCTTACACTTCCAGATACTTTATTTCCATGATCCCCCTCCAAGAGAACTTGTCAATAGTTTCATATGCTCTTATGGTTCTGCAAAAATTTCAAAAGTGAGAAATTTTAACCACAATCATTTAAAACATTCTCACTTTCAATTCCTGTTTCCATTAATGTTTATTGGTTTTTATGCTGCCTAGCCATTATTGAGATGCTGCTAGAGAGAAGTTGAATCTGGGATACATTTAGTGTGGATTTAGTTAGATACAGTTATGTAGTTCATACTCATTTCCATGCACGGAAGAGTTACTTAACCTCATGATTACACAAAAAAAATACATAAAAATTTTATCTGGTCAGGTTTTCATGCCCCTTAGTTTATTTTTGCATGCCTATAAAGACATTTACATCTAATTATATGATTTTGACCTCCAAAAAGGTAGTGGCCAATTCTTTGTGGCTGTGAAAATTAATGTTACATTAGACTTTTTCACCGAAAAAAAAAAAGATCTCTAAAAATGATGCTTGTGAAGAGTTGGTTCTTTGAAAAGATAAATAATACTGACAAACCTCTAGCCAAACTAACCAGAAGAAAGAGTGAGAAAGATGCAAGTCAACAAGATCAGAAATGAAAAAGGAGTTATCACTACAGACCCTTAAGAAATCCAGAGGGTAATTTATACTCCAATATACTGAAAAATCTTGAAGACATTGATAAATTATAGACATATATGACCTATCCAAATTGAATCAGGAAGAGATAGAAAACCTAAACAGATCAATATCAAGCGATAAAATTAAAACAGCAATTAAAAGCCTAAAAAAGAGAAAAACCCAGAAGACGAATTCTTGACTTAGTTCTACCAGACCTTTACAGAAGAATTGACTCCAGTCTTTCTCAAATTAGTCCATGAAATTGAAAGGGAGGGAACACTCACAAATACATTTTATAAAGCCAGTATAATCCTGATACCAATACCTAACAAAGAAACATCAAGAAAACTATAGACCAATATACCTGATGAACATAGATGCAAAAATTCATAATAAAATATTAGCAAACTGCATGCAAATTATACTACAGATTTGTAGTAACAAAAACAACATGGTATTGGCATCAAAATAGACAAAAAGACCAATGGAACAGAACACAAGACACAGAGACAAATCCACATAGATACAGCCATCTGACATTTGACAGATGTGCCAAAAATATATCTTAGAGAAGGGAAAGCCTTTTTAACAGATAATATTGGCAAAACTGAATAGTTATATGTAGAAAAATGAAATTAGACCCTAGCTCTCACCATGCACAAAATTCAAATCAAAATGGATCAAAGACTTAGGAATTAGCCCAGAAACTTTACAACCGCTGGAAGAAATCATAGGATCAACACCCCATCATACAAATGCTGGCAAGAGCCCCAAAGTACAAGATATAAAACCAAGTATCAATAAATAAGATACCATCAAACTAAAAATCTGCACAGCAAAGGAAATGATTAAGAGTGTGAAGAGCAAGCCTATGGAATTGGAGAAAAATTCAGCCAGCTACTACTTCAATAAGGGATTAACATTCAGAATATACAAAAAACTAAAGACCAAAAACACAAACAACCCAATCAATAAATGAACAAAAGAACTAAACAGAAACCTCTCAAAATAAGAACACAAATGATTAACAAATATATGAAAAAAATGTTCAACATCTCTAACAATCAGGAAAATGCAAATCAAAACTACATTAAGATTTTCTCTCACTCCTGTCAGAAAGGCAATGATCAAGAATGCAAACAATAATAAATGCTGGTACATTGTTAGTGGAACTGCATGCTAGTACAACCACTTTGAAAGCAGTATGGAGATTCCTCAAAAAACTAGGAATAGAACCATCATATGATCCAGCTATCCCACTCCTTGGCATTTTTCCAAAAGATCTAAAATTGGCATACTACAGCAACAGAGCCACCTCAATGTTTATAACAACACAATTCACAATTGAAAATCATAATTTACAATTATGGAATCAACTCAGATGTCCATCAATAGATGAATGGATTAAGAAATTGTGATATATGTGTGTTCTACTCAGCCATAAAAAAGAACAAAATTATGGTATTTGCCAGTAAAAGGATGAAAATGGAAAACATCTTGCCAAGTGAAATACGTCAAACTCAGAAACTCAAAAGTCAAATGTTTGCTCTCATGTGTAGAAGCTATAAAAAAATAAAAGGGGGGAGACATGAATAGGACAACATAAAGAACCAATCAAATATAAATTCATAGATGAGTGAAAGGAAGTCTAGTAGAGTATAGGAAGGAGAATGGGAGAGGACAGGGAGAATGGGAAAAGCAGGGAAATCATGAACTGAAAACCATTTCCATGCTTAAATGAGTTTGTTGGGATGAACCCAACTACTATGTACAAATATAAAACTCTAATTTAAAAAAAAAAAAAGTGATGCTTATCTGCTTTTGCCCTCTCTAGGCCCCAGAATCTTAACTAAAATAGTCAGAATTCACTCCATGTATCTCTCCATGTAAGCAGCCTTGGGTCGTTTAACAAATGACTTTATGAAGTTAACAAGATTGTCAATATGCCTGAAAAACCATTCCACAGTGAGAATGGCAACTTTGCTGTGTGTCCGCTTGGTTCACATAAATGCTTTTTCTCAGAATTTTCTTTCCTGTGTGTTTCTGGTTAGAATGGGCATCAAGAGTGATTCTTGTGTGAGATTTAGAAATCGAATGTGAAGCAGCTGCCACTTTGTGCAGTTCACACACACTATCATTTATCTGTTTTCTTACCTGGATGGTGTGAGGCAGCACCCAGGCCTGCTCTGCCCACCTCTGGGTCCTTCTTCTGACTCTGATTCCTGGGTCTGACTCCATCATGAAGGGTTGTAACTTCTGCAAGACTCCATACCTCAAGTTCAAAGGCAGAACTGACATAAGTTTCCATCTCCTATCACTGTTTCTCATGTAGCATCACCAGTCCTGACTTAGCAGCATGAACTTGGGAGTATTTCATTAGTTCATTCACTTAGGTTAGAGCAGCTCCTGTTGTTATTTCAGTATTCTCCTAAAAAAAAATAAAAATAAAATAAAAAACATACATTAGGACAAATTATGTCTATAAAATCCAGTATGTAGCATTAGAATAGTACAGAATGTTGGGGCAGCATACTACCTCAAGGTCAGGGTCATTCCCAAATTCACTTAGACATCAGTAAGAACTTAGCTTTTTGTTTCATGTTACTACTGCACATCCTAAAACACGTTTTAATAACACAACTATCACCTCATATTTCAAGTTTTCTTCAAGTCCTCCAGACAGAGTTGATGTCTTCTTTAATTAGTATGCCACATTGCACAATAAGACCACACTGTAATGATTGGAAATTTCTCCAGCTCATCCACACAGCTGTCATTCTTTCAAGGTCAGAAACCACACAGTGTTCACCTTTGCCTAATTAGTGCCTGGTGTTTGATAAGTGCTATGAAATTTTAGTTGACAAATTTTTTAAGTTATATAGTTATGTTTTCTCTAATTTTTTTTTATTTTGAAACAGGATCTCCCTAAGTTCCTGAGACTGACCTCAAACTTGTGACTCTCCTGTCTCTGCCTCCTGAGTCCCTGGGTTTATAGGTATATGCCACTGTGCCAGTCTATTGATTTATCTTCTTTAAATGTGTCATGCCTGAGAAAACAACTCACTACTCCTTTTATATGTTACCAGACACCTGGATGAATACTGAGAATCTACCTAACAAATACTCATTGGCATTTCAGATTGTCTGGATCAGTGCTGTCCTGCAGGACTTCCTGTGATGATGGCTATTATGAACTTACAATGTGGCTATTGTATTTAAACAAATGAATTTCTAATATTATTTCATTTTAATTATTCAAAAACAAATAGTCAAGTATGGCTATAAGCTACCATACTGCTCAGCAGTCTTAGATGTCTAGCATTATGCAGATACTTCCACAGGGATAATCTTAGTTTTGACTTTGAATTTTTGAAAACTGCCACAAGTATAGCTCTACTAGCTTCTTTCCTATGGGAGTCAGCTTTTTGAGCTTGAACCTAATATATACAGGTGATAATAATCTCATGCAGGAACAAATATAGATAAAATAATCTTCTATCTAAATAAATAGCCTCAGAATTCAGTATCATCATGGAGTTGGGATTTTTATGAAGGACATTTCCATGTTGCCTATTTTACTTCTTTGTTTGTTGTACTCTATTTTTCAAAGCATTTTTAATTACCTAAAGATTCTAATGAAATGGAATAGAAGATAAGCCTGTTAGATCAATGTCAACTAAATCATAAATCATAAAGTACTTTTTTAAGCAAGTTTATGACCCTTAGTATGAGAACATTTTATGCAATATTTTTACTGTAAAGTGAATATATTTCTGTTCAATAATTTATCTTTATTTTAACCCCTCCTGAAAAAGTTATTCTGAAATCACAGAGCCATTATATGAAAAGAACTATGCACAACTTACTAAGTACATCTATATATAGAATTACCTATTAATAACACAATTTTAAATCAGTGCCAATGTGGTAAGTATATGTGGGAGGGGAATTTTTGCTTTTTTTAAAAAAAAAAAAGTCAACAGAAAAAATAAATCTCTGTAGACATGATAAATTCACTCAAGATGCTTGATGTTATTAGGGATTTAATCCATAGAAAATACACTTAACTGCAATAAAATAGGTGGTTTCACCTGATTAAGTTCATAAGAATAGAACGGTAAAACGTAGTGTGTAGTTTAAATTTTACCATATATGTGTTACCTACTTGTATTTATCAAGGAATCCAGAAGACAAATAGCAATTATAAGTTTTTTAGGGAGTAGAAATAAAACCAATTTAAATCAATACCTCAAGAGAATGAGCTAAACAGATAGCCTCACAATGACTAAATTAAATTTTTTCATTTTCTGAAAAAAAAAATGAAACAGCCCATCTATTAACTACAGGCTTTTAGAGTGAAATGAGATCCATTTTTCAACAGCACTAATAAGATCCAAAGGAATTGCAGGATAATAAACACATTAATAAGATTCAAAGGAATTGCAGAATAATAAATGTAGAAAATAAAATTAGGTCTTTACAATAAACTATGATTTGAGATACCGGAGTACAGTTTTGGAAGCAGCCTATTGCATTTTTTTCCACAGACCTGGGCATGAGCCTTAGATCCATTATTTACTGGGATCCTTGAACAAATTCTATGCTTCAATTTCTCCATCAATAGATGTAGATAATCATGAATTTTCGTATGGAGAGCATTTAGAACGTTACCTACTTAACAAATATTAGCCAGTCTCATTAATGGCAAAAATTAATTAATATTGAGGGAACTTTTCTGAAATTAATAGTCATGTCTACCTTCTTTAGTTTATTACTCAAAATGTATATGTTGATATGTGTGATCTTCAATAACAGCTTTCTTCTCTCTCAATTACAAGCTGGGGGAAGACAAATGAGAGCAGTTGCCAGTTTTCAGAAATAGCAGGGGTAAAGATATTGCAATTTGACTCAAGCTAAAATCTATTCACTATCATATAAGTGGCTAGGAAGATGTGTAAAAATAATTATGAATGGTAAGATTAATAGCAAAAATAACCTCTTACTAATGAAACACAGTAACAGTTGTTAATATTATTATAACTTGAAATTGTTAATGAGATCCTCATTGAAAATTCTATGATTTTTTTGTTTTGCTTGTTTTATCAGAAGTAATAAAAAGAAGAAAAGAGGGGAAGCTGAATCCCACTAAAGAATTCTAACAGAAGATGAATCACAGAAAGGAGAATTGGTGGAGACAGCTGGAAAGAGGAAAGGTGGGCAGACCAAATCTCTAAGACTTATGGGAAGAAAGGATTGTATTGAAAGCTGATGGCCAGATAAAGAAGATGATCCAAGAGGGAGGTTATGCTTCTGCCCTGGGAATGACATAATAAAAATGTTCATGTGCTTCTTAAACTCATGACTAATCTCTGCTTGATGCCTGATGCCTGAGAGTGATTGTAATTTCTTATGCTTTTTATGCATTAAAAAGACAACATCTATAATGTGATCAGCATGATTCTTGACAGAATGGGTTTTTTTAATTTTTAATGGGCAAATAATAATTGTATACATTTATAGAATATAATGTGATATTTTGAAAAATGTATTCCTTATGATTGAATAAAGCTAATTAACATATCCATTATTTCAGATTCGTCTCTCTCTCTCTCTCTCTCTATTTTTTTTTTTTTTTGGTAATATGAACATTCAAATCTACTCACTTGGCGTTTTTGCATTAAATTACAATTGACTATGTTTTGTAGTAGATGGCAAAAACATGGTTCCTTCTGTAAAACTGAATTCTTGTGCCCTTTAACCAATATCTCCCTATCCAATAACTCCTTGTTTGTAACCTTCTATTACTACTACGACTACTACTACTACTACTATTACTACTACTACTACTATTCTTATTGGTACTGAGGATTGAACCCAGGAGTATTAACCACTGAGCCACATCCCCAAACCTTTTTTTATATATATTTTATTTAGAGACAGGTTCTAACTGAGTTGCTCAGTGCCTCGCTAAGTTGCTGAGACTGGCTTTGAACCCACAATCCTCCTGCTTCATTCTCCAGAGCCTCTGGGATTACAGGCATGTGCCACTGCACCTTATTATTTGAAGCAAATAATATATGAGATAATATGAAGATGAAGAGAGATCTCTAAGTAACTGTAGCTAAATAGACTTTAGTTAAACCACTACCTACTATGGAGAATCTGCAAGCTATGAAGTGACTAATAGCCTCAAAGTCATTTATTAAACATGTATGCGTTTTATCTTTTCTAAATCTCAGTAGCTTTTCTTAGACTCTTTTATTTTGGTTTGTTGACCTTTCTCATGACCTCCTAACCCAGTACTTCCAAAGTCATGTGCTAGCTGTAGTTGGACATGAGGACATAGTAAAAATGTCCATGTGCTTCTTAAACTCAGGACTAATCTTTGCTTGATGCCTGATTTAGAAATATCTCTTCTGCCTTAACAGTCCACCACCATAAAGAATGCTTCTTCCCTGGGAAGGCAGTATATACCTCGTGCACACTGGCTTCATGCCACCCTACCTGTAACAGGGATAGAGAGGCTGAATATAAACACATTCTATGTAAGTATCAGTAGTAAGTTTGGTTACAGCTTCAAGAGATCCAGCAAACAGGCATTTTCCCCAATAAACAGTCACTTACCACTACTTTTAAAAGGCCATTCACTATGCTACAGGCTTTGAAGAGGATGTGAAAAGGATCCAGATAATCCCATCTATGAGATGTTATTTGAAACATGTTTAAATCCCTAGTACTGAGATACAGAATGGAAGGCTATGATAAGTACAGTCTCTAGATTGCGCATCAAAAGACTAAGCTACTGCTTAACCTCCATTGACCTCAGTGTCCTCCTCCAGAAATAAAGCAGTTGAACTCCCTGTTCTGTGACTTTTCTGCTAAATTAACCACTCACTGTGTGGCTCTCTATTAGTGGACACTTAGGAGTTGAATGCAGTTTAATTTACAGATGCATTAATATTCCTGTATGTAAAAATAGATTGCTTTAGAACATAGCAATGGTAGTTTTAAAAGCAAGATATTAGCAAAGATAACCTCTGAAAGTAATCTAAGAAGTTATAAAATGAAAAGAAAAAAAACTAGGCCAAAGAACCCCAATATGATATTGGTACATCACTCCTCAGCCTGTTTTTCACTCCTTGATCAAAAATAATTCCATGAATTCATTTTCACCCAGGAATTCAACATTTATTTCTTCAAACCCATAACTCATGATCCACAAGGAAATAGAAAAGCAACATTTAGTTGTAGACTCTTCAACTTTTACTTTAATGTGAAGAAAAGTAATTAGAAAATGAATAAATTGACAATACCTGTCTTAGTTTTGTAAAGACACTGTAACAGATTACATCTCCTAACACATGGTTCGACTTGTGATTTTTTACTTTACGTTGGTGCAAAACCCTCTTTTACCCAGTAGAAACCATACTTTACATGTACACTTATTGTACATTAATGGTGAGTCCCTGTACAAAGGTGTTTTATTTCACTTTTTGTACAGTATTCAACAAATTACATGAGATAGTCAACACTTTATTATAAAATAGCTTTGGTGTTAGATAATTTTGCCCAAATTAATTAAATTAAAATTAATAAAAATGTTCTGAACTCATTTAAGTTAGTATAGGATAAGTTATGATGTTTGATAAGGTAGATGTTTTAGATGCATTTTTGACTTACCATATTTTCAACTTACAATTGCTTATCAGGACATAATTCCAACATAAGTCTAAGAACATCTATGCCAAGAGCTGGGTTGAAGAACATCTATGTCAAGAGCAGAGTTATGCAGCAGAAATCATAGTCATTCTGAAGGGGAATTTTTTCTTGCCTTTTTCTGGCTTCTGATGTTTACCAGGAATCCTGTGTTCTTTGACTTGTAGAAGAATCACTTCAGTCATGTGACCATCTTCCCCTAGGGCATTTTCATATCTTCCCTCTGTGCTTATCTATGTCCAAATTTTCATTTTTAATTATGATGCAGCTCATATTGGATTAGGGCCAATTTCATTTCAACCTGATTAAATCTGCAAAGACCCTATTTCCAATGAAGCAACATTCTGAGGTATACAAGGAGTTAGAACTTCAACATAACTTTTTTGGCGGATAAACAGTTCACTTCATAACTAGACCCTATCTCCCACCAAAAATATTCAGTGAGTACACCAGATATAAAGTTTTGTCAAGGAGTAGGAACCAAAAGAAACATCAAATAGGCTTTTATCACTTATATAGGCAAGATATGATTCACAGGAATCATCAGGAATTTTAAAGATATTAAGGTGAATTTTTGCCTACCTGGTTGAGTCAATCCCTTGGCAAATAAAGTAATATAGGAAAAGCCACAAGAGAAAGAAATCAGATTACATATAGAAGAAAACCAAATAGAAATCTCTGCAGATTTTTCAACCCATAGACTGAAAGCTAAAAGATCCTGGAACAACATATATCAAGCTCTGAAAGAAAATGGGTCCCAACCAAGAATATATCCAGCAAAATTAAGCTTAAGATTTGATGAAAGGGGCTGGGAATGTGGCTCAGGTGGTAGTGCGCTCCTCTGGCATGCGTGCGGCCCGGGTTCGATCCTCAGCACCACATACCAACAAAGATGTTGTGTCCACCGAGAACTAAGAAATAAATATTTTTAAAAAATTCTCTCTCTCTCTCTCTCTCTCTCTCTCTCTCTCTCTCTCTCTCCTCTCTCACTCTCTCTTAAAAAAAAAAAGATTTGATGAAAAAAATTAAAACCTTCCAGGATAAACGAACGTTAAAAGAATTTACAACTACAAAGCCTGTACTGCAGACATCCTCAATAAAATATTCCATGAGGAGGAAATGCAGATCACAAAGGGATGTATTACACTAAAGGAAAAACCAATCAAAAGACAAATCAAGTCAAGTTAAATACCAAAAATAAACAAAAATGGCTGGAAATAAAAAATCATATCTCAATAATAACCCTGAATATTAATGACTTAAACTCACCAATCAAAAAACATAGACTTGCAAATTGGATTTAAAAAGACCCCTGGGATTGTGATTCAGTGGGTGAGCAAGTGTGAGACACAGGGTTTGATTCTCAGAGTGCATATAAATAAAATAACAAAGATCCATTGACAATTAAATATATATATATAGATAGAAAAGATAATCTCTTCAACAAATGGTGCTGGGAAAACTGGAAATCCATATGCAGCAAAATGAAATTAAGCCCCTATCTCTCACCACGCACAAAACCCAACTTAGAATGAATCAAGAACCTAGGAATTAAACCACAGACCCTGAGCCTAATAGAAGAAAATGTAGGCCCAAATCTTCATCTTGTCAGATTAGGCCCCAACTTCCTTAGTAAGACTCATATGGTGCAAGAATTAAAATCAAGAATCAATAAATGGGATGGATTCAAACTAAAAAGATTCTTCCTCAGCAAAAGAAACAGTTAGTGAGTTTCACAATGGGAGCAAATTTTTACCACATACACAACAGATAGAGCACTAATCTTTAAGACATATAAAAAACTTAAAAATCTTAACACCAGAAAAACAAATAACCCAATCAACAAATGGACCAAGGAACTGAACACTTTGCAGAAGATGATATGCAATCAATCAACAAATACATGAAAAAATGTTCAACATCTCTGGCAAGTAGAGAAATGTAAATCAAAACTACTCACTTCAGTCAGAATGGCAGCTTTTAAGAATACAAACAACAATAAGTATTGGTGAGGGGATGTGAGGAGAAAGACACACTCATACATTGCAAATTGGTGAAACCATTATGGAAAGCAGGATGGAGATTCCTTGAAAAATTTGGAATGGAACCACCATTTGACCCAGCTACCCCACTCCTTGGTTTATATTCAAAGGACTTGAAATCAGTATACTACAGGGACACAGCTATATCAATATTTATAGCAGCACAATTCACAATAGCTTGTTGAGAGCCACAGCTGAAGGGGCCCCAGCAAACTTTCAGCTGCCAGCTGATTGGCTCCTCTGCGGTGATGCTCATTGGGCTATTTCCCGGCCCTTTCAGACCATAGAGCTGCTCATTGGGGGACTCTTGGCTCCGCCCACATGATTCAGCCAATCAGCCTCAAGAGTGGGAGGAGTGGGGGGATTGAGAGGCTTGTGGGTAGCCAGTGGTGGCAGTTGGGCTCTGAGGGAATTCCTGAAGAGCTCGTGTGGTGTGGCGTGTGTGTTCTAAAAATAAAGTTTGTTTCTGCTTGACATGTGGCTCGTGAATTGTGCCCAGCCAGACTGCGGCAATAGCTAAACTGTGGAACCAACTTAGATGCCCTTCAGTAGATGAATAGATAAAGAAACTGTGGTATATATATACTATGGAATATCACTCAGCATTAAAAGAGAAAAAAAAACCCATGGAATATGCAGGTAAATGGATGGAGTTGGAGAATATTATGCTAAGCGAAGTAAGCCAATCCCAAAAATACAAATGCCAAATGTTTTCTCTGATATGTGGATGCTGAACCATAATTGGGATGGGAGAGGCATGGGAGGAATGAAGGAACTTTAGCTGAGGGAGGGGAAGAGAGGGGGCATGGAGGTAGGGATGATGGTGGAATGAGATGGACATCATTACCCAAAAATACATGTATGAAAACACAAATGATGTGACTCTACTTTGTGTGCAACCAGAGACATGAAAAATTGTGTTCTATATGTGTACTATGAATTGAAATACATTCTGCTATCATGTACAACATATTAGAATAAATTAATTTTTTATAAGTAATATAGGAATAAATATTTATATTCATGATAGCTTGGATTTTTCTAGTTTTCCAAACACTGTTCCAGATGTTTGGCCTTATTAATTAACCCCTTCCATCACTCTACATTGTATTATTATTTTTCCCATTTTACATTTGGAGAACCTGAGGCACAGAAGACATTAATTTGATCAAAGCCATAGAACAATTAAGTATCAAACCTAAGATTTGAACTCAAGTAATCTGACCTTTAAATCTTCCTTCTAAATGGCCTTAAAATTAGGTGTCAATATAACCTCAAAAAAAGGAATTGTTAAATTTTGAATTGCAAACATTACACTGTTAATATTTAACTTGCTTATAATTTCCAGTTGATGGTGCATGCCTGTAATCCCAGTGGCTCAGGAGGCTGAGACAGGAGTACTGAGTTCAAAACTAGCCTCAGCAAAAGCGAGGCACTAAGCAACTCAGTGAGACCCTGTCTCTAAATAAATACAAAATAGATATGGGGATGTAGCTCAATAGTCAAGTGCCCCTGAGTTCACTCCCCAGTACTCAAAAAAAAAGAAAAGAAAAAGAAAGAAACTTCCAGTTGAACTATGATTTTGGGGATAGGGGTTTGAAGGGATGCTGGGGATTGAACACAGGGACTTTTTAATGTGCTAGGCAAGCACTCTATCACTGAGCTACCTCCCCAGCTGTGCTTATTACTATAAATATACATATATAATAAATATATGTATTACTTTATATAAAAAGGGGGTGGGGAGGTGTAAAGCCTTGGCACTGATGTCATGTCAGAGTCCATTTTTAGTTAATATGCTTAAAGGTTATACCCCTGATTAAACTGAGTCCCAGCACTGGATGACAGTATATTTCTATCATTGCAGTTTACGGCTGGTTTCTTGGTTCTGTTTTGTACACAGTACATTGCTAAACTGCTGTACTTTAAGACCCGTTTAGATTAAATTTAATTGCACTAACACTTGTATTGTTTATTCTATAATAAGTGGTATAATACTTTTCACTGTTACGCTATGTTTTTCACCAGTGCTTTATAAGCAATTATCATTCATATTAAAGACATAACACTCATAAGTGGAAGGCACCTGAATTTTGTCTGTGTAGGAACAGAGAGACACTCTACTTCCTCTGTCTTCTTTTCTTTTTTTATGTTGGAAAAAAAGGATATATTTAGAATTAGACAGCTGGACTCTGTTTAGATGATCCCAATTTTGTTGGCAACAGCCAAAGCATCATAATCAGGAGCCAGTCCAATGTGTATATGCCTTCTCCCTCAGGCCTGATCAGGCCACATCTATGTTGGCCACATCAATGTCATAGAGCTTTTTTAAAAATAATATTTAATAATATAATACTTAATTAATTAATTAATTAATTAATTAATGTGGTGCTGAGGATCAAAACCAGGGCCTCACACATGCTAGGCAAACATTCTACTACTGAGCCACAATCCCAGCCCTCAGAGAGCTTTTTTACAGTTTATTTGATTTGGTGTTTGTTGGCCTTGATATCCACAATGAACACAAATGTCTTCTCCATGGCCAACTCAGCGGTCACAGGGAACTTGATGATGGCATAACCGTCAAGCTTGTTTCTCCTGGAGCTCTCTTTTGAAGATATTTGGGTTGCCTCCAGAGCCACAATGTCTTGGGCCACCAGAAAGTAGATAAGGTGGGATTGTCTTCTTTTTGTGGCTGTGGAGCCTTTTACCACTGCCTTCTTGTCCTTTAAAGCTTTGGCTTTGGCTTCAGCTTTGAGAAGGGCAGGAGATTCCTTCTTAGCATGGGGCACCATCTTCCCCCCTGAGTTCTTAGGTGGACTCTTTGGAGGAAAACATGTGAGTTTTATTAATTTTACATGCACATCTGCACAAGAATGGAATCAGAAGAAATGACCAAAGCATGATAAAATTTCTACTTTTTAGAAAAAAACCATAGTTTGTTTTTTTTTTTTTTTGTCATGAAGGAATAGCAGAGCAAATGGATCTCTGGACTGAGATAGTAAATTCTAGAAAGTCATTAAGCCATACATGGTGATGGGAGCAGGTGTAGAAGCTGGTGAAAGATAAGGGTTACTTCTAACAGCTTGTTTATTCTGGCTTATTGCAGCCCCCATTGCCAGTCTCTGGTAATCAAAGCTACTTTCTAGTATTGGTATGCAAAGGACATTCCTCTCACAAGAGTCTTTATGATTTGCTGTTTATAGGAAAATATGCATCAGAGAGTCCTTTCTGAAGTCAGTTCTGAAGTGATTTCAGCTTAATCAGTAAACCAATTTGGCATGTTTGAGATGGCAAAGCCTCAGCTCCTTCACAGGTGACAGCAATGCTATAAGCAAAGGGGGAAATCTTTCATTGACTGTTCTCTATGGAGGCACTAGGACATTACTGGCAGATATTGTCTCTAGGAACTAGAATGAGTTGGAGTCAACAAAATGTTTGTAGTTTTTCTCTAGCAATGCATATAACAAGAGATATTTGTAGAGAAAGTATATTTTAAGCCCCAAAGTGCTTTCTGAATTATATTCTAATAGAAATACTTAATTTTATATTCTGGAGATTTCTTTCTGTACCTCATTACATTTTTCTTATAACGTTATTTATATAGTTTTATAAAATCATGCTTAGGATCGAACTCAGTGCCTCAAAGGTGCTAGGCAAGTACTCTACCACAAAGCTACAACCCAGCCCAGCTCATCATTATATTATTACCATGTTGGCTTTTTAAAACATACAGCTGTCAACAAAGGATCATAAAATTAAGCTGTTATAACTTCAATAATACCCTGTTCAGCCAGGTAGTGATTTCCTGAAAAGTAGCCTCATTACCTGATTACCACCATCTAACCTAGCTGGCGATGTAAGCTGGGTTCACAAGAGCTAGCTGTACCAATAACTTAAGAAAACAGTGAAGAAAGCATGCAAGCACACAGAAATATCTTTTCAAAATTCTGAAGGGCTCTTCACCTTAGGGGCCCGTTGGAAAAAGAGACAGAGCCACCTGAATTCTTTTTTTTTTTAATATTTATTTTTTAGTTGTAGTTAGACACAACACCTTTATTTCACTTGTTTATTTTTGTATGTGGTGCTGAGAATCAAACTCAGGGTCTTTCACACATGAGGTGAGCATTCTACTGCTGAGCCACAACCCCAGCCCCTGAATTCTTTATTCTCATATAGAGGGACACACAAAGGGAGGTTCAATGGAATGTTCTTTCCAAATAAGGCATCGAGTCAGGGTTGAGTTTAGTTTCCTGTTGTCTTGTGGGCAATAGATTGATTGACATCTTGGCAGTCACACCCATCTCAGGTGCTACGTGGGATCAAAGGCAGAGAGAGCAAAAAGGACACAGAGTGCACAGCCCAGACTGCACAGCAGTCAGTCCAGTCCACTCATGCACTCAAAATGCTCACAGCTCACACACACAGCCCATGGCTGGCCAGTGACACTTGATCCCAGACAATATCATTTGATATCAGGAACAATCTCCCTGTTTCATTAATGTTATAAGTACTAGGTAGTCATGTTAATCTAGGCTTATTTATTAGGCAAACCACTACAGTAGATAATAATATTGTTCAAAAGTGAGCGTTTTGATCTTCAGACAGTCTTTTGCCAACTAGAAAAACTTATAAAAATAAGATATCATGGCTGGTCTTGATATCATTTGAGGTTTGAGATCTTTTGTTTTTCTATAATTGATAGCAGATATGGTATAAAAATAGGAACTGAGATATAAGTAGTATTGGATGGGGTGAGGTAAGAAAGGAGGTTATTGTTTTGTTTTTATAAGTGAGAAAATTAATTAATGATGACATTACCACCATTGGCAGTGGAGTATTTTCAGATGAGTAGTTTTGGAATAGATTGCCAGTGTAAAAAAAAAGTTTTCATTAATGTGGGTAAGCTCAGGGCGTTGTAAGTTAAAATAAAACATCTAGTAGATCATTTAGAAAAAGTAGTTCTAATAAGTACGTCTCCAGGTTTCCATCTAGAAAACAACAATATTAGATCAGTGTGTGATTTGAGTTCAGACTATGTGATTAATACAGCTATTAAAACCATAAGAATATGAATAAAACTAAATCCTAGTACACATTTTATATAAATCTTTGAAAAAATCATTTTCCTCCCAACTAATATCATCAAGTTCAAATATAAGCCTAGCAGTTATTGTTATTATATATGTGTATTGACCTTTCATCTCCTTTGTATCTCTATTTTTTTTTTTTGAAACTTTATATAAAGATTGAAGGAACTTGAAACTGGTGCCTGTTTTTCTGTTGCATGATTACTCAACTGTAGATCAAAACTTGAGATAAACACACAGATTTCATTTTCAACTAAAATGACATTATTTTCATCCATACTTAGGATAATTATAAGCCTGTTAACATATGTAATGAATTGAAAACTGCAACAAAATATTCACTGCCTTTCTATGAATATCAAGATACTCTTCCTGCACAGAAATCCCAACCTTCCCTCAGGGCACAACAGTAACCTCTCCCTAACTGCAAGGCCAGACTGTAACTCTCAAAGTTTTGCTCATCTCTCAAAGTCACTTCTCAGGCTGAGCAGATTGGAAAAAAAGCCTGTTTCATCCTTGTGTTAAAAGAGAAAATGCTCTGTTTTTATTCTGTGGTTCTTCCAGGTGGTTTTGTATAAAACTTAAATTTTGCAATAACTTTTCTCTATCTCAAGCCCTATCAGAAGAGGAAATTTTCAAGATTTCCTATCACAATATAGTTTTTCCAAAGACTCAGAGATTCGTATAAAATGAAAAGTCCTTGTCACTTAAAGTTATGCTACTTTCTACAGGGTCTTACAGATATTTGTTCAACTATTTCACGTAATGAAAAATACCTTTTAAGCAGCTAAATGCAACATCTTCAAAATGTGTAGTAAAATCTGTCCTACTGCTTCCCTGAAAATACCTTTTGACTAAACACCCTGTTATAAACCCGTTCTCTGCAAAACCACAGATTTCTAAATGTAGTAGGCAATTTATATTATCTTTGCCCAAAGGATAAAATAAATTTTAAAATATTCTAGAGTGAATGGGCCTTTATCTAATAAATTTAGCCATTTTGTAGGATTATTTGGATATTGTATCTATAAGAGTTCCTGGCATTAGTACCTCTTTGTGAAGAAATCAGTATTTAGAGGCAACTTCAAATCCAAGAAGTGAAGAACATTATCTCAAGGCAAATTATAATCTAAGTTCTCCTACCCAATGATCAATAGGGGAGAGCAGCAACCAGAGAAGGACTCCTTACACGCAGAGGACCCTAGGTAAAGATGACATCAGATTTCCCACCATAAACAACGCATGTAAGAAGTGAGTAGAGAAAAAATCTTTAAAGAAGTGAGAGAAAAACTGCTCACTTAAAATACTGTAATCATCAAAATATATTTCAAAAATGGAGGCAAAATACTTCCTCAGACATACCAAAGCCAAAAGACTTTGTCAGCAATATGTCTGTGTTATAAGAGACCATAAAGGAAGTTCTTCTAGAAAGAAAATTATACCAGAAGGAAATATGGACTTGTGTAGAGAACTAAAGAATTCTAAATATGGTAACTGCATGGTTACACAAACAAGAATATGTTTCTTGAGAAAAGACTGAAAATAAAACCACTGTCTTTCCAACTAAGGATATGACTGATATTATCAGTTGTAAGTAATAATTAATTGACATAACATAAATTTTTATAAAGAGGTTAAAGTTTTATAAGATTTGTGAAAAACACATATCAAATAAAAATAATTTATTTTCTTTAAAAAATAAACAAAGCAACCACTATGGAAAGCAGTTCGGAGATTCCTTAGAAAATTTGGAATGGAACTGTCATTTAACCCCACTCCTGGGTCTATACACAAGGGACTTAAAAATAGCATACTACAGGGACACAGCCACATAGGTGTTCATAGCAGCTCTATTCACAATAGCTAAACTGTGGAACCAACTAGATGCCCTTCAACAGATGAATGGACGAAGAAACTGTGGTATATATACACACAATGGAATATTACTCAACAGTAACAGAGAATAAAATTATGGAATTTGCAGGTAAATGGATGGAGTTACAGAATATCATGCTAAGCCAAGTAAGCCAATCCCCCCAAAAAACAAAGGCCAAATGTTCTCTGTAATAAGTGGATGCTGACCCATAATGAGAGGCAGGGGAGACGGCCTGGGGCATGAGGAGAATGGAGGAATTTTGACTGGACAAAGGGGATGGAGGGAAAGGGAAGGGGAATGGGGGTAGGAAAGATGGTGGAATAAGATGAACATCACTACCCTAGGTACATGTATGACTGCACATGTGATGCAACTTTATATCCAGGACAACCAGAGAAATGAAAAATTGTGTTCCATTTGTGTACAATGAATCAAAATGCATTCTGCTATTGTGTAGAACTAATTAGAACAAAGTTAAAATTTTTATTTTAAAAAATAAACAAAGCAAGCAAACAAAAAAAAACTCTCCCATATATAATTTTGTCCCTTATGATAAGTGTATTCTTAATCCATCTACACCTAAAAAAATAAATATTTTTTTAAAAAAATAATTAAAAAGGCCACTAGAGGCTGAAGAATGTTTCTACTTATTTTGATTAATTTGTTTTGCTTAATCTAAGTATTAGATTACTTTGTATTTCAAATACAAAGTAGTAGATACTTTGTATTTCAATCAGGAGCTCAAAAATTTAAGGCTATTTTTTTTTTTTTTTTTGGCTGGGAGGACCAAGGATTGAACCCAAGGGCATTTAATCACTGAGCCACAACC